CCCCATGCAGGGCAATGGCCGCCACATCACAAGCCTAGAGAAGACAATAACTCATGAAGAAGAAGGAACTAACTTTATCAATGGCCTCAGCTAAGAGTAGAGTACCTTTACGAGAGTTAACGAATATAATGACTGGAGGACTGGATAGAAACAAAGCAATAATGAATACATTTATATTGTTAATAAATACATCACATTTATTGCTCTTAATACACTTCGGCATTATAAAGACAAATTTAAAAGCAAATGTGATATTCTCTATCACTTCTTACCAGAATGTGTCTTTGTCTTTAAGAAAAGTAAAAAGATGTTTCTTCTTTGCCTCCTCTTCCACCCAAAGGACAGTATGTCTGACATTAACACTAGAACTGTTTGGCTATAAAGAGTAGCAATTAATACCGTATAGAAGGAAGTTTTGGAGGTAGTTAAATTTGGCATTTTGATAGCCATTCGCTAAAATTAAAATCTGCCATTTTGAGCCATTATACGCATGCTCAATGGCATGTGACCACAAATTCGCCAAATTAAAATTCGCCAATCACCAAAATTTAGCAATTCGACAAATTTAACTCTCTCCAAAATTTCCTGCTATACAGTACAACAACACAAGGTGTAATGGTCTTACCGTCCCAACAGTAATGAAGAGAGGATTGTGAAGAGTCTCTATAGCTAGTGTCTCTATCTTTGGAGGAATGGTAGCAGAGAAGAATAGAGTTTGCTTCTTTGATGGAAGATGCTTACTGATGGACTGTAGCTGAGAATGGAGTATAGGGGAATGATGGAGAAAATGTACTAATAACAGTAAAGGCTGGTTTACAATATTACACTAGGTCTGTAACATCAATTTTTAATTAAAGCCAAATTCAATTCCAACATAATATTGTAAACCAGCCTTAATTAATAATAATAGTAATAATAATCTTGTAAAAATTACATATTGATTCTCATTCTAATCTCACTTGTTCCTCGAACCCCATTTGATACAAAGAGTCGACTTCATCAACTACAAGAACTTGCAGACTTGAAGAGAGACACAGACTCTTTCCTACAGACACCACAAATATGCAGGACTGCAGGTATAGTATAATCAGGTCTGATCATTATTACCATGATTGGTTAGTATATCCAATAGTCTTGCTGGAGTAGCTATCAAGAGCTAAGAAAATAAATAAAAATCATTAAAATTGTTAGAATTTGTGATAGAAAAATTTTTTAGAAATAAATAAAAAATGTAAATAAATCTTAGAAATTGTTGATGTAATTCATACCTTCACATTTGACTTTAGTCGGTGTAACTGGTTCGCTATTGGTACTCCACCAATCAACAAAGCAGTTCTCATACCAGGAATA